AAAAAAAAAAAAAAAATAGACAACGCATGAGAGTGGAAATGTGAATTAGCAAATAGACTTCTGTAATTTTTTAACTCCAAACTAAACAATTGGTAAATGTGTATTAGAGCCTTCAACTGTGCCACTGGTAGCAATGTTGACCCACTTATATTGTATCTAGAGAATTCATTTACCTTTTCATGCGACACCAATCTCTTTTTCTTTTTGCTTCTTCAATTGTTGGTTTGTGTATGTGTGTGTCAGAGAGAGTGAGAGTGAGAGACTACATATCATATAGATTTTAGATGCTGGATGTTTCTGGGCTGTCGCTTCTAATGAGATTTCACAAGGTCTCAATTTTTCTTGGCCGGAACTCAGATTTGTTCTTACCCTGCAGGAGTGCATGAGAGGGTCTCCGGCAAAAGCTTATGTTGTATATGCTCCTGTGGAAGTAATTGGTGGTGAAGCCCGACTTTTACGTGCTTGTCGTATCCACAATTTCTGGCATCTTCTTCCCTGTACCCACTGATTTTAATTTCTCTGCATGTGTCATTTCTAAGGGAAATTACTACCTGCATTTGTCATTCCTTAGCCTTTCTAGAGGTCATCATTGATGCGTTCACTGAAGCTGGTCTTGTTCTTGAAAAAGATGCAAACCGGAAGTTAAAGGTATAGCTTTCAAGGTGTTAATTCTGTAGTCTGGTTGATTTGGTTGGCAGTGCCTTTATTGTTTGTCCATTAGGACTCTATTTCTGTTGATGCTGTGTTCAAATACTTTGACCATTCAATCTAGTGCTGCTTCTTCCTTGCTTTTCCTCCCTTCCACTTTCTTTTCTCATAAAAGCAATTTATTCATCGCAAGCGTCTAAAGGCTCCCCAGGGCTTTGGTCTAGTGGTACAAAAGCCAGATATTTAAGCGGAGAAGGATTGAGGGGCGGGCTCATTATCTACTGATTTTCGAACTTTGCACCACTTGGCCCCCGGGGATTTCTTGGCTATCCTAAAAAGCAAGGGCCTAAAATCATAAGGCACCCGGTAGAGGATCTCTTAATACAACCAGAAATGGTTCGACCCTATTTTGGAAATGGAAGCAGTTCATTCACCACCAAGAGTCAATATGGCTGAATTCAGAACTCTCGAACCGTAACTCATTTCTCACCTCCTGCATTCCAACTTTATATGCCTGGAACTTGTTTCTTCAGTTGCATTTTGCTTGCTGGTGCTTTCTTGTGGTGTTCGTTTCTTTTTCTGCTCTGGCATCAAGTATTAAATACTTGAACATTATGCTTCATCTTATTCAATTATATTTTCACTTTTATGGTTACTTTCGAGAAATGCTCATTATGCTTGTCCCCGTAAAACTGTTTTTAGACTTGCATTTGATACTGTTACTTATCAAGATGTATTCTATAGTCTCTGGTGGCCTTTTTCCTTTTTAGATTTGATACCAGAATGCTTGTATAGCTTATCCATGATTTTTTTTGGGGGGGCTATTTTTATGTTTTGAAATGTTCCTGATCAGCCTTTTCTGCCCCTTCTAATACAGTTACATGCCACTATAATGAATGCGGGACACAGGAGAAGGTGCCATTTTTAATTCTTTCATTGCATAGTCTTGTTTATTAGTCAGCTTAAAGTCTCTAGCATGATGCTACCGGTTGCATAACTCTCTTTGTTGTTATGGTTGCCACTGACTTACTGTTCTCTAATTGGTAGCAAAAATAGATCAGGAAATGCTGATTCCTTTGATGCACGAGCAATTTTTGGTCAGTATGGCTCGGAAGAATGGGGAGAGTGTCTTTTACGTGAAGCTCATCTTTCACAAATGTTTGTGTATGGTGACGATGGCTATTACCATTGCTGTGAATCCATCCCATTTCCTGAAGGGATGTAGCCATGTAGGGTGTGTTTAGTATGAAGAAAAACATCTTCAAAAAAATGTTTCCTATGGGAAAATGAGAGTTTCTCTCATATTTTCTAGTGTTTGGTAAGCAAGCATGTGAATATGTCATGTATACTAGTTGTTGAAGACATAAATGATTTCTCGTTAATCTGCTATTTTAGTATTGTATTGTTAAATTTGTTGGTATGTAATAACGAAAAGACCCATTTTATGTAAAATACTCATTTGGTGTGATTCTATTGTTACGTTCTTTTTTTTCCAGCTATGTTACTTATTATTTCATAGTTTTATTTTTCTGTTTAACTTCACCTTACCTAAGGCTCCAAACCAAACATGCACACAAGTGTAATAATATCATACGAACTTGCTCGCACAATCAAATCACCAAAATAACATCTAAATCTACTAATCAATATTAGACATCTAGTATGTTTGCAGCTTCATTTTTTTATTTATCCCTTTTAGCATTCTCACCTACCTTTTTTATGCTAAGACCCCTTTTTATCCAACCCTTTTTTATGCCTTTGATTGATTTCGTTAGGATTTTGGTGAATTTAATATCTTAAACTATTTACGAGGCATAATTTGTGATAAATTAAGAAGTATTAAATAGGGTATTAGTAAAGTTATTTGATATCGTACAATACTATACAAATAAATCAAGAAACAAAATATTATTAAACTACATCAAGTGATACAATCTATTCAAATGTTTTAAAAAAATAATATATTACAAAACAATGAGTACAAACATTAAATCTCCAATGAACCTGTGAGGGATGGAGTAAGGACTTGAGGATTTGTAAAACTTTGGCGGAATCTTATAATATTGAGTTCCTTAATAGATTGTCGATTCTAATATAATGTTAAAACAAATTTGAACATCTATGGTTTTTTTGCTTTTGTTTTTACATCTATGGTTATTTAGTTGAGTTACCATTCATTTTCTAGGAAGTTTAAATCCTTCACTATCATCATAACAATAAAGATGAAGACAGAGGGGGTATAATTTGAGTAAAGAGTGTTCATCGACCACTAGTTCGTAAACTGAATTGCTTAGTTCTAATCATGCATTGGGGTAATTCTGAAAATCATGTCACAAGTTTTAACTTTACGAAAACAGACCCTTTTATAGCATTTAAAGTGAAGCTAAACAAATTGAACAATATCAATAAAATGATCATAGATTGAGGAGTGTTAACCTAACGAGACGATATATATTGTATTTCAATGAACCCATGAACTTTATAAATAGAAGAGCAAGACTATAGGTTATTAACTTATTATCCTCAGAATAGTTTTGTTAGTGAGTATGGTATTGTTAGCCTTTGGTTTTTTTTACAGAACTATTAGAACTGTTTGATGTTGGCTCAATATGGAGCCAGAATTTGAAAAAATAAAATAAAAATTGGGAGGAATATTAACATAGGGAAAAGCTGCATTCTTTTATTTTATTAACATAGTAAGTTGAACAAACTAGGTGGAAATAATGTGGATCAAATTGTTTTAGATTCAAATGTTGTGATTTGCAAGGTTTGTATTTTGCCCAATTCAAATGAGGTGTTACCTCTACTAATGTCTGATGGTGTTGTTTTCCAGCAGAGTGTAACTATTTTTACCATTTGACCAAAGAAAAAAAAGAAACCAAAAATAAATAAAAAATACATTTGGTATTGGCAACAGTTCATATAGGAGATCTAGAGCCTTGTACAAAAGGGTCCTGTGCACTTGTTAGGTGTGCTCCTTTTCCTTTTCTGCCCAAAGCTTGAAGCCCCAATGGCCCAAGCTTCATATTCATTGAAGTAGTCCAAGAAGTTAGTAGAAATGACACCAGGTAGCCACTCTAAAAGGCTACTATTTAGGAATTAGTCANAGAAGCCAAAAATAAATAAAAAATACGGAAAAGGTCCAAATATGCCCTTGTACTATACGAAATTAAGCACATTTGCTCTTCGTTAATAGTTTAGCTCAAGAATGCCCTTACCGTCACATAGTTAGTCCATATATGCCCTTAGAGTCACATAGTTGGCCCATATATGTCCTTTTCGAAACGGAATCCACCCAAACTAATTATCTATTTCGTTAATTGTATTAAAACGTATTACAAACACTATTTTCTTTTTATTAGTATTTGTTTTTTCTTTAGCTTTCTCTTTTATTCTTCTTTTTCCTTTTCTTCTCTTTTTTTTTTCCTTTCCTTTCTCCCTTATTCGATTTCCTTCATTGCTGATGTCTTCTCCATTTTCGTCACCAATTTCACTTGACAAAACTCATGAATTTTAATTACTAAGAAAATTCTCCCATATGGTAATCAAATTCCAATATCACTGGCCCTCTAAATAAAATAAAATTGTTCCAAAAATTATGGTTTAAACTTTAAAATAATAAAAATATCTCAACCTTTAACAATACTCAAAAGATCAAAATATTTAAATTATTTTCAGAATGATAATTTAATGATTAAAAGCCCAGAGGTCAAGTTCTAGTGTTATAAATTTGAGTTGTTAGTCTTTTTTCATCTTTTTTCTATTTTTATATTAACTATGTAAATTAGAGGTGTATATAGACGGGGTTGGTTCGATTTTATCAAACCAAACCAAACCAATGGTTCGATTTTGTTAGATTTTTCGGGTTTTTTGTTACATAAATAGTATTTCAATCTTACTTTGTTAAATTTTTTATAACTAAATATATGTTCTGTAAAATTAAAAAATTGACAAACATATGATCTATTAAAATATTTTTTTGGGAGAATTTTCTTAGTAATTGGAATTCATGAGTTTTGTCAAGTGAAATTGGTGACGAAAATGGAGAAGTCATCCAGCAATGGAGGAAATCGGATAAGGGAGAAAGAAAAAGGGAAAAAAAGAGAAGAAAAGAAAAAAGAAGAAAGAAAAGAGAAAGGTAAAGAAAAAAAGTACTAATAAAAAGGAAATAGTGTTTGTAATATATTTTAATACAATTAGCGAAAGAGATAATTAGTTTGGGTGGATTCCGTTTCGAAAAGGGCATATATGAGCCAACTGTGTGACTCTAAGGACATATATGGACCAACTATGTGACGATAAGGGCATTCTTGAGCTAAAGTATTAACGAAGGGCAAATGTGCTCAATTTCGTATAGTACAAGGACATATTTGAACCTTTTTCGTAAAAAATATTGGTATTGCCAGCAGTTCATACAGGAGATCTAGAGCCTTGTACAAAAGGGCCCCGTGGGCTTGTTAGGTGTGCTCCATTTCCTTTTCCTTTTCTGCCCAAAGCTTGAAGCCCCATTGGCCCAAGCTTCATATTCATTGAAGTAGTCCAAGAAGTTAGTAGAAATGACACAAGGTAACCACTCTAAAAGGTTGCTATTTAGGAATTAGCCAATCTGTAATGAATTTTAGTTTTTCAGTTTACCTTTTTTGGGACATAAATGTTCTAAATTGTCCTAAAATTAAAATTTTTAGTTTAAATTTTCAGGATAAAATAATTAATTATCCGAAAGTATATGTTTTAAAAAGTATTATAATTCATACCTAGAAAACTTTTTACAAAATACCCAAAAGAAATACGTATGTTCTATAGTTTTGCAGTATACAATTCACATGTTGTATACCTTAATAGTATACAACACTGTGATTCAACTATTTTTACTATTGTACACTTTCAGAGTATAATTATGTGAATTGAATAAAATTGTGTTATGTAATTTATTAATGGATGAATTCTCTAAACGTATATATGTGGCTAATTGTTTACATCGCCTAGTAGTCCTATAAAAGTCCCATAATTTTTCAATGAGAGTTGAGCCAGTCAAAAATATTCTTCTAAACTAACCAAACATCAACTTTTGAGTGTCAAGAAGTTTATGTATGCTAATAACAACAAAAACAAACAATTCCTTCTATTTCATCCTTATTATATACTTCTAGTCTCTGGAGAGAAAAATAATTGTTCTCTACTGTAACATACACGATATGTTCACCAGTGACCAGAGACAAATATAAGATTGAAGAATAGATATGGACCTGTAGTGCTAGTGGTGGTTAGCTTTGTTAGTTATCCATTAGTTAGTTATAACTAACTTACACTATACTAGAGTTAGAGTAACTTGAGTTAGCTTTAGTACTAACTACAGTTAGATTAGTTTTCCCACATTATATATACACATGTACAAATATATTTTACATTTGGAATGAAATATTACAATTCTCTCTCCTCTTCTAGAATATTCCCTAAGATTCATTCTCTACGACCTCCTCCTTCTCCGGCTAATAGAGTAATTCAGCTCAATCACCATGACAGATGTCCATGGATAGCTAAATTCAACATCGTATCAGAGCCACACGACCATTAATATGGTCATATTGTCTTCAATTTTCATTTTCTCGAAGCTTGGAAGGAAGATCGTCAATGGCGACAGCCGATAACACCGAACCGGAGAAACTAAATCACAATCATCCGCTCTTCCTGAATTCAAATGATAATTCCGGAGTTATATTGATTTCGTTACAATTGAGAGGACCGAAAAATTACTCTGTGTGGAGCCTGGCGAAGAGGATTGTAATCCTAGGTCGAAACAAGCTAAGTTTCATAGACGACACATGCAAAAGGGAGAATTACAGTACGAATCTTGTTGACCTCTGGGAACGTTATAATGCGATTGTATTGTCTTGGTTGATGAACTGTGTTTCTCCGGAATTACTGAGTGAAATGGTGTATTCCTCAAATGCTAGTGCGGTATTGGATGATTTGAAAGAGTATTTTGATAAGGTGGAGTGTTCTAGGATTTTTTAGATCCACAAAGAAATTGCTAATGCTAGTCAGGGCACTAGCTCAACTTCAACTTTGCTAGTCAGGTCACTAGCTCAATTTCAACTTACTTCTCAAAATTGAGAGTGATTTGGCCAGAATTGTATAGTTTGGCACCAATACCTGGCTATGGCTGTGCCAAATCTCGCGAACTCGTTCAATTTATGGAGCCCCAAATGCTTCTACAGTTTCTGATGGGGCTAAATGAGTCGTACTTATAGGCTCAGAGTCAGCTCTTGATGATGGTCTCAGTACCATCAGTAAATAAGGTGTATTCTATGCTAATGGAACGTGAAAGCCAAAAGACTATGAAAAATGCTTATGCTAATCTAAATGCTGGTGAAATGGCTGCCTTGTTGACAAATAGGATTGGAAATCAGCAAAAGCCAAAGAAGAACTATAATGTCTACTGTGATTACTGCAAATTAAAAGGTCTTACTA